CTAGATATCCATTTTTAGAGTCTAGATAATTTGCCTGTTATATTTAAAGGGACAGGAAGGCCTTTTTTTCATCAATCATACTTGAATCTTCGAAAAGGGAATTTTAAGCTAAGCCAATCAGATCAGAGCTCACCGTCAAAATTTAAGCCTTCAAATCTATGTGTGTCCAGTATTATCCGCGATTTATTGGTTAAAATGACGACCTTTCCAATATAAAGGAATTATGCGATTTTCTCACATTTTCTAGTACTTCTGAAGACTATTTATAAATATTCAACATTAAAATCAACCTCCCAAAATGTCCCTTTAATCAAAATATAAATCACTCGCAAATCCCAAAAAACGAAACTGGGTACTGTTACAATTATGTAGAGCTGAATTTCAACCAAATATATAATAAAATTTGCTTCGTTTTCCCATTTTCACCGACTTTGAAACATCTCCATACTCGCGGTATGCACTTGCCTCAAATCACAAAATTATCAAAATAATGAAACATGAATCTAAACTAATTCATAAGAATGAATATACAAGTTAAGATAAATTCATAAAATACAAAGACCTCGTTATTCTCCGAAATAAACGAACGTTTGTGTTTAAGTTTTATGATAAGCTTTTATTTATTTTTCGATAAACTAGAATAGTCATATAAATATTAGAAATTTGAGGATTGAATTTCGCTTACACGTTTCATAACAAGACCCTACTTATGCAAGGCAATTTTCTGTGATGAACTAAAGAAGTTTTATATGACTATCTTGGTGAAACATTCAACCATTTAATATGTTACTGGTATCTCTCTGTCTAAGGCATAATGTCTTATTCATTGATAATTCAAAGTAAGTCGATATGGAATTTGGCTCAAATCTTTGGCAAAAATTCAAACAACATAGACTTTGTTCCAACAATCAATAGATATAAGCGTTGAACAAGCTACGGTGTGTTTTATAAAATATGATTTAAAGATAGGGCATTTCTAACAGGTGTAGATTTACCTTTACACCGCAAAGTTTAAATATAGATTAAACGAATAATGTTTGATTCGATGATTAAACGACTTGACATAAAATATATTACCGAAGTTGTTATTTCAACTAGTAGCTTCAATTCAACTTAAAGCCCAGATCGTTCATATTTGATTCCATAGACACTACTTAGTCGTTTTAAAGCCATGATTTTGAAAGTGAAATGATACACCGTGGACCAATTAGAGCCGTGGTTCTCAACCTATTTCAGCCTTCACACCCCTAGAGCAATCAGGTGGACCTTTTACACCCCCAAAAATTTGTTTCATCCACATTTGCAGCATGTGATGACGTGAGTTGCTCTCTTAACTCAAAATAAATTCTTCTCCTACACCTTACACACTAGTCCCACACTCCCAGGGGGTGAAAACACCGCAAGTTGGGAACCAAGGAATTAGAGGCACAATTTCTAAGACAAGTTTTTCCAAGACTAGTTTGTTTTTCTCAATGTAAAATGTTTATGTTGTGTTTTCGGCTTGATAGAAAAAGTAAATAAATATCTGCCGTCTGTTTGCCCCAGAGAGTTGAATATTATCATAACATATCTGAAAAATATGTTTTGACTTCAGTGGGATATCTCAACATTACACAGCGTGACTTGGTGAACAGGTGCTCGTTACGTCATCAATCATTGTGATGATGTTTTACACATAAACCAAGACGTAATACACAACTTTTATTTAGAAAAATGAAGAATCGTCAAGAGAATTTGTAACATTTGTAACCTCACGATGGTTGTACTGTTTTGAGGGTTCCGTACACCTGTTTCGCTGTTGCTTGGGGGAAACTAATGACTCCCAAAACATATGTTTGAAAAATATGAAAATGTTTTTGTAAACTTTTACTGATGGGAACTTAAAACATGATGATATGATATCGGTTGAGGGTTTAAGGTTTATAAGTTTGGACAGGTGTGATAGTGAAACAGGTGAACATTAATGATATTTAGTTTAAAATATTTCAAATAATCGTTCGTTTTGGGTTTGAAAATACTGTAGTAAACAAATATCATGGTAGCCAACATTGAACTGTTCTGTTCTGTTTTTCTGTTCTGTCTTATTTAGTCACAGAGTTGTATTTCTAAAAGAGTGAAAGCAAGGATGAAATACTTAGATAAGGCTTTAAAATGTTCGATTTGCTAGGTATGATTTCGTGGCCTCAGAATATTAGCATTCCCTCTCCTATTGTAGACATATACTCGTGTATACAAAATATGCAGCATGGACCAACCATGCGAGAGAGAGAGTCCAGGCCACGCATTCTCGAAACGATCTCAGCGCTAGGATATCCCAGAAATAGAGTTAGAAGATAGGGCCTTAGCTCTTGCTAGCACTAAGATCGTTTCGAAATGTAATGAAATGGAGTTTTACGTCCTACTTTTCTGCATCATGTGGGCTTATGGAGACGAGCAACGGCGCGCAGGGTACAATGATTTCCAACTGTCGAGGGATCTTTAATGTGCACAGCCTGTAGCACACGGGACCTCGGTTTATTGTCCCATACGGACGACTAGAAGCTGTTTCCAAGTCAGCCCCTCTTACCTGCATCACTGACAGGGGGAAACCGGGTTGAAAATAAGATCGTGTGGAGAATACGCGGTCAGGATTTTTATAGACTGTTTAATCTGCTATTTGTCTTTCAAAGAACTGGTTCAAAAGGACGTATTTCGAACAATCTGAACGATTTCCCCGATCCATTCGTTCAGTGGTCAAATCAATGGAATTTGAGAAGAGATTTTAATGGTTTAGCCACGCAACTTTATACAGTTTGATTTGGCTCCCTCCTTTATTTGTACAGTTTTGAAAATTGTGCATTTTTCACGTGAGTGGGATGTTTAGGACGTGTCTGTACACAGTTGGTGTTGGATAATCTAAACAAAGAGGGTCAGAAGTCCGTCTCCCCTATATTTTGAAATTATTCAATGTTGTCCCCCCCCCCCCTTCATCGAAAAAATTATATGTATTAACTTACAAATTAGCGTTGGGCGTTTTTTCCGGCTTCTCATATTAGATAATTTTCGAGCGGAGGCCATTGTGATCCCCAACCATGATTAGTGCCCTCTTAAATCCGACAAGGTATGCCAGATGAAATCAAAATGGACTGAGCTTTAAAGTTCGATTTCCTTATTTTCATTTATTTCGGATCCATTATTGGACGGCTAATACTTATATAAATAGAAAGCAGATGTGTTTTAATGATTGGGAAAAATACCAGTTTGTTTCAGAAGTCAATAATTAACTCGTAATTAGCTAATTACGAACAGATTCCAATGATCGAGCGGTCACTTAATAAAGATTATCAGGTGTCACAATTTCCTTAAGGGAGGTAAATCTATGTGTGCCTTTTCACAGCCGAACATTACCAAAACAGCCAAATACCAACCGGAAATTTTATAATTTCAATGGTTATGTTTCCAAAATAAGTAAAAAAAAACGATGTTTTTTTATTCTCTAATTACATTGTTTCTAACTTACAAATATATCTTTTAAACATCTTTGGCTAATAATTTTTTATACGAAAATGTGGCTAGATTAGGACGATCTATCAGTGGTGAGTAAAGAAGGATTCTATTTTAAGCTTTTTCAATAGGATTTCAGTAAATGTGATCCCCAAGCTATTCCTCACACAATCTTAACACTCAGGAGTACTTGATTTATTCTTTAGAAACACCAATTAATTAAACAATGAGCATGATTTGACCAAGAAAAATAAGTAGAGGCAACCTTAACAAGAATGTTCTAATCCAAATATTCAAAAGATAGCTCTTGGCCTCGCCGCACGGATATAATAAGATTAGTGGAATACTATATTTGTCGATTCTGATCAATTCGTGATCTATTCAAGTTGATGATAAAAGGTGAATAAAGTCAACATTTGTAAACAAACGATCAAAGACATAATTAAACAGATTCTCCACTATTACAACCATTTTATTTTGATACTATAAGATATTAAACCTGTATCAAAAATATGTTTTCTTCGTCTAATACCTTTACTGTAGTGGCGACTATACTTGTACCACTAAGCTTTGTAAATGCAGCGATTTGATTGGATTATAAGCTAGCGAAAACAGCCAATTATAATAGCCCTTTCGCACTGCAAAAGTAATTCGGTTGTATCCAGTTCTATCCGAATAACTTCCAGTTACTTTCGCACTGGCAAAAAAACTTATTCGGTTATAACCAGAAGTTATCCAGATAGAAAAATCTACCTCAAGAGGTGGATTTCGTCTGGATACGATCCAGATAAGTGGCAGTGCGAAACCAAACAAGAAGTTATCCGGATAAGTTTATCACGTGGGGTGTCACGTGTATAAACACTTCAAAATGGCTCCTGTTGGCGGGGACTTATAATGATATTTGACGATCACAAGAAAAGGATTAATAAAGTACACGAATTGTCTAGGAAAAGAATGAATATATATCGGAAGAGGAAACATAAAATGCTTTTGTTTTTATTTTCATATGTTTTATTTATAAATAAGGAATTTCAGTCCCGTCACGTGACATGATGTGTTACTAAAAATAAAAAGTTATCTAGATAACTTGACTCGGAAGTGCGAAAGCGGCTATCCAGATAGGATTGCAGTGCGAAAGCAACCCGAACCGAATCCAATCGAACTGAATCGTATTTTTCTATTCGGTTGTAATAGTGCGAAAGGGGTATTAGAGCTCTCTAGAGATGCTTTCTTGCATAACAATCATGGCTTATAGGCGTCTATCAACTAAACCTACCTTCACCGAAATTATGAACCCAACTGAAGCTTAGCTGCACCCTACTCATCAACTCCCTATCCTTCCCTCGCCCCCCCCCCCCTCCTTCCCTCTGGTACGCCCCATACTAAGTACCGTTTATTGTATGTGTAAAAGAACAAACAGTATAATAAATACTAGAAGGTGTTTGAAGAAGAACAAGAATCAATTACTTTCAATCTACTTGACAAAGGTAGCCCACTATTTTCTTGATCGTATAATCATGGACACAAGAAGGCGAACAACATCTTTTTTTATTCTGGTACGTTTTCATATTCATTTTTAATCTTTTCAAAATCATAACGAAGACAATCATTGTTTCGATTTGTGATATATTATCGCTATAAACATCTATTTAAGCGGCATTGTGCGTCATTTTAGGTTTGATCAGATAAAGAACAGGCTTTTTACGTCTGATATCTTATTTCAGATTTCACTTGGTATGTTGGTGGTGAACACGGAAGGTTAGTTCAGATTTTCTTTTTGAAGCGACTTCGTTTTTAGGATTGGGGACTGAGCAAAAGGGAATCCAAGTTGTCAAACCCAATGGTAGAGTGGGATCTTGGATTGAACCATTTGTATATCATTATTTTATATGATATGAAACGTTTTGAATATTAGAAATTGAATACCACTTGCTCATTTTAAAAATATATATATATACAAGTATCTCATTGCAACTTCAAATTGTCCAAAAGTAAGACAGAACAGAAGTTTTTAAATTTTTGAATTTCGAATTTTTAACAATTTTTGTTGATATTTCAGGTCTGGAAACTGATCATTGGGGAACCCAGTTTATATTTTCATTCATTTATCCCATGCATCACAACTCCAAAAATATCATCGCCATTACAGCTCGTGAAGTAACGAAGGTTAGAGTGATATTCCAAGAGACACAAGCCGTTGTGAAGCTTACCGTTCAGCCAGGACAGACTAACCATACTTGGCTAGGTGACTTGAGTTTAGCTCAACCGTTTG